GTCAGCTCAAGGGCTTGTGTTACAATAGGATCGTGGCATGCAGTGCTTGACAAAGTGGCATGTCGGCAAGGGCCTGTCAGAATATCAACGATAATATGACAAACCCTTCTACCAACATCCTGCCAACCCGCTCGGGTACATGCATATCTCCGATCACGCCGATTCGACTGTTCCGCACTTTACATCAGCCCTAGTCTTATTTTGGAACACTACCCCTCATAAAGTTCGAATTATTTCTTGTATTTCAACAACTCTCAATTCTGATTTTCTACAAATAATTTGCAAACAGACAAAACAAATACAGAGTTTCACATAATTTTACTTCTAAAAACTTTCTGACAGTATCTTTTACAAAAACTATTCGTTCAAAAAACTTTACAATATGCCTATTGACTTTCAACTCTCTGCATCTGAGGATGGCATCCGAAAACATGCAGCTGCATTCGCTGCTGGCCCTCTAAAAGATATCAAGAAGGTTTACTCCGCAAAGAAAGACGAGCAACAATTTCAATCATTGAAGCCTTTTTATGCTGATGCAACAGCTGGGGGCATGATCAAAGGCTTGATAGGACCTCATCTTGGAGGAGCAGGTGGAAGCTTAACTGAAGAAACTATCTTAGTTGAAGAGATGTATGCTGTCGACCCTTCCGCATCTTTGACAATCTTTGCAACTGGATTGGGGTTGACACCATTGAACTTGGTTGGAAAAGAAGAGCACAAAGAATTCTTGGAACCATTCTTGAATGGTAAAGGGGCACCATTAGCAAGTTTAGTATTCTCCGAACCAGGAGGAGTTGCAAACTTTTTAGAGAAGGGTGCTCCGGGGCTTAACACAACGGCCACACTTGAGGGTGATGAATGGGTTCTTAATGGGGAAAAGGTAAGAAGAACTTAAAGAAATCCGAACCTAACATCTGGAACTGAAACTAATCCGAAAAACAGATGTGGGCTACCAATTGTGCAGGCTGGGACTTTGAAGGTGCAGACCTTCAATGTATAGTCTGCCGTGATCCAAGTGTTACTTCAGATGACCCCGCCGACGCAATCATGTTACTGCTTGTAAGCAGAGCCGATATTGAACGCAATGAAAAGGGAGCATTCAAAACACTCAAACATGTAGCAACTGCCGGACACCCCGCTTGCTCTGGCCCACATATCAAATATACCAACTTAAGAGTTCCTACCAAGAACGCTCTATGTCCACCAGGTCAAGGTGTTTCTGTAGTATCTAGAGCATTTGATTGTTCAGCTGTTTTGGTCGGTGCCATGAGTGTCAGTGTTATGAGAGCCGCTTTTGAGGCAGCTCTAGCATTTGCCAAAGCCGATAACCGTAGAGGAGCAGAAAATTTGTTGTCAAGACAAGCTTTCGCAGATATTTTAAGCGGTATCAAAATGAAGACAGAAGCTTCCAGAGCTTTGACATGGAAGGCAGCTCATACCCTTAAGAATGGACCAGGTGATTATAATGCCAGACGTGAATTGGCATTGGCTGCGAAGATTTATTGCTCAGAAGCGAGCGTCAAAGTAGTCACAGAGGCCATTAATGCTGTTGGAGTGTAAGTTCCTTTTCCCACCATTCTCCACAAATTATGGAAGTCACTAATAATCTGCTATAGAACTGCATATAGTACCGAGCAGCCCTTCGGAGACCTATTGAACACAGCCATTGTCTTACCAATTTTCGACGGTGGCAATGTAGGTATTCGGAGACGACATATGCAAGAACTGATGGCATCAGACTCGTATGATCCTTGGGCTTCTTCCTTTGGCCCATCCAAAGCCTAGAATTAGGAAACCCGAGTTGGATCTGCTGGTTACTTCGTGAGGGAAATGCGATTGCATGTATACCGAGTTTTGCAATCTATATGCCAATGTTAGAATACCGTAATTTAGATAGACGTCCAAAATAAGCAACAAATGTCTTTTCATTGTCATACAGGACTTCGTGATGCCCAGAGTGCATAATTGCCAAAATCATACGTTGAGAGAAAACTGTGATTGTGTGCCTTAGGAAATCTTTTTCTATCCAACCAAGCTTCCAGTTGGCGCTAAGGCAGTCATTTCCCGAAATGGTCAGTTGTGGAGAAGCTTAAATGCTTACATAAGACGATACAGTAATACCGCAAGATGATTCCACTAACAACTACAATACAACCTTTACTACATTGATCTGTATCGATTGCGGAATTATCTGCGCTCATCACCGTCGCTGACTTATATTTTGGTCGTTAATGATCGTACCCTTGGACATCCCTCTTCACAATGCTAGAGTATATGCTTATTTTGGGTGTATGATCGATCCAACGTCGCCATTCTACAATCCTTGACAAGCACTTGCCACAATATCTAGTATCAGAATTGATCCAACTACTTCGTGTTTCTGGACAGGAGAGTGACTATTCTAGGGTATCTAAACACCCTCCTTGTCTCTTATCGCATTAATTGCAATATCGGCGATAAATACCGTTCATCAGATCACGACATGGATTACGACAGATCTTACAATGGTAACACAACACCATAGGATCATACAGCACATACCCCATCCACCCCTTACCTTTGCATCAAAAGCAGTCAGAATCCCTTCAACTCCGTGACTCCGTGGCTACTTTGCGGTATATGCTTTATTCGTCAAGGACAAGGATATATGAATCTCACCATCACATCGTGGCAACTAGGTCCTGTCGAGCACTACTAAGATTCCTGTACGTCTATCGCTGTAATGATACCCCAATCCTAGGGCTACGGAGCGCTTGCAGTTCTTGGCTCTAAGTGACCATAGAGTGAATCCTTACATAAATAAGGTCTAGTGCATCCACGGCCGTCCCGAAGTGGGGCCTAGTTTTGATAAAAATATACGATATGTATATGGTAATATACCTCCTCACAAGCAAAATTTCCACATAAGCGTACGGCACAGTATACCTATTTCTACCACTTTCAGATCGAGTTCCTCCAGTTCTCTATCCTCGCAAACACATACATTCTTCGAATCAACAAGAAACACAATCATGTCTTCCCCAGGACCTCTTTTCATTGTCGGTACCGGCCCCATGATCGGATCTCATATCCCCCGCCTTTTCGCGACCCACACTTTCACACACATTGCACTCTTTGCACGTTCTGAATCCACCCTCTCTGCATCCCGCGACTTCATTGCCGCCGCAGCTCCATCAGCTAAAATCCACACCTACACAGCTGATGTGACCGATACCCCCGGTCTGACATCCGCTCTCCAGACCGCCGTTAAAGAAGTCGGGTCCCCAGAAGTAGTAGTCTACAATGCGGCCCGTGTCAGCTACGGCAATTTCGGCGAGTACAGCGAAGCCGATATTGTCGAAGATTTCAAGATTCCAAACTTGGGATTATACACAACTGCAAAAGTGTTGCTTCCAGGTTTACAAGCATTGGCAAAGGAGAAGCCGGAGTCTCATCCTTCGCTTTTTGTGACTAGTTCGCCCATTATTTATCAACCTTTTGCACCTGTATTTTCACTCAGTATGGCAAAGGCTGCACAGGCAAACTTGGTAAAATTGTTGATTGAGCAGACAAAGGATGAGGTGCACGTTGCTCTCGTAACGATTGGAGGTCCAGTCAGTGAACGAGAGCCGGTTAATAACCCAAAACATATCGCTACTAAATTTTGGGAGTTATGGGAGCAGAAGAAAGGAAGCAGAGATGTTGAGTTGTTGGTCCAGTAAGGAACAGAACGGCGATTCCGTCTGTCTGGATCACTGCAAGGCTTTGAAAATAGATTGCACTGAGCTAGATATAATCAGCTTTACGACACCAATTCATGATAATGTTAGCATTTGAGCCATCTTTTCAATCATGTTCTACATGTTTTCCTCAACTGTATTTACAACTAGACTTGAGGTTTGGTGAAAGTCCATTGAATCCACAATTTCGTAATGATTATTTATTGCAATACTGCCTTCACCACCTCCTATGGACTTTTACACCGTTTTTCTTATATCACATCTCTCTATAAAAGCTGTGAAGAATACCCGCCATTCTTCTTCATCCTTCATTGTATTCTGCAAACCCCGCACAGCTTGGAATCCCTTTTCCAAAGAACAAGCTTGTGTTATCAGATTTAGCATGCTCCAACGGCGAAAGTTCTGAGATAGGTCCTTTCGTACCAAATATCATTACAAAATCTTGATGCAACCTACCACGCGTGATTACGTTAAATTCTCAACCTAGCCTTGCTACTCGAAGAGAATTGTCCAATAATTTTTATCGCCAATATTTCATACGCTTTTCTTCCATCTACTATCTTATTAAATGCTTTCCATTCTTACAGCAGTCATTTATATACTCAGTATCTCAGAGGGATAAAGAACATATGGATTTACCGTGGCTCTCACTGTTTTTTCACTCCTCATGTTTTACCGTCCTCTATCCCCGCCAATTTTTTCTTTAGCTATCTCTTACCATGACACGGTCTAGTTTTCTTGGGTATCTTGAATCAACGAAGCAAGTCGATTTACCACTTCAGCTTCTTCGCTAGTATGTTCGTTCCAAAATTAGTCGAATAGAAGAAAAATAGGAATGCACCGGGTCTTCGAGTACCTACTTTTGAGGCTCATTCTCTACACGATTTACAATTGCCATTCTCTTAACGTCATTGAGATTAGACGGTAGAGCTTATGCAGGAACCTATAAACGATGTACATAAATCTTCACCCAAGCACCAAAACCACTTCAAATAGAGTATTTGATTCGTATTGGCTGCTTTGTAGTGACATGTGGGTCAGCGCCCTCAGCCTGACAATATTACCATGGAGGGCGAGCAAGGGCGATTTTGCAGTACCAACACAACATTTTTCGCAGCGCAATGAAGAATTATATAGTTCGCGCTCTTCCCCCATCCAATTTTGAGCTTTTTTTCGCACTCATCACTACTTTTTTGCCCATTAATTGGACAGCCTCGACAGCCTTACCTTTTTTTTTTACAGTAACACTCGGTTAATCAACGCCCTTAGCGCATCGCCCTCATGCAAGCTGCACGCCGCGAGAAAACCTCTTGGGAAGAGATGGCTTTAGAGCCAATTGATCAAAATCAGCAAACTACTCACCCAGATATTGGCCTGTCACCTTACCCTGGCATGGGTTTTGGGAATGGGGCGCATCGGGTGAGGACAATTTTTTTTTTAACTTTTTTTTAGACACGGGACCTGTTAAGGTCAAGGTTGCAACCGAATTTTTTCGCGACTGTCGATCAATTTGATGGCATTCAACGCGCACCAGTCTTCAGTGGGCATTTCGAACATGAAATCTATCCCAACTTAGAAGTCACGGGACCGGATACCCAATTCGAGTTTTGGAACAGTGCGGCTACATTGTACCCTAATACCGACCTTGCCAACTTTTCCGCTCCAGGACTCTTTATCGCTGATTTTCCAGTCGAAGGACCATCTGAGAATGGATACTCCACAGCTATGAACATGCATGCCATCGAACTGGATTTCTTCAACGGATTCCCAAGCGTCGGTTATTCTGGCATAATCACCCCCAGTGATCCAGCCCCTATGCTTGGCCCGGCCATATACCCACCACCCTTCGTTAACCCAGACAGTGCTTCCTACTTGCCTGCCCAAGCACCTGTTCAACAGCCCGTTCTTCCATCCGGACAACAAGCTCCTCAACGTACCACCTGTACGCGTTGCCCACGTACCTTCTCTCGTCGATCGGATCTTCCACGCCACATGGCATCTGTTCACGGAGTAGGACGTCGCGCTCATCAGTGTCCCAGATCCGGTTGTGGAAAGACCTACAGTAGAAGCGACAAGGTCTTGGAGCATAGAAGAAATGCAGGACATTAGTTGGTGAAGGATGCTGGATCGTTTGGCTTGACATGGATTTTTCGATTTGTGATGGATGGATAGGATGCGCAGAGGAGATATTCTTTTGTTTATTCGGTGTCGCGCTTTTTTATGAAAATAATATCTCTGCGTATGATGTCCCAAGTGTGAAGGCTCAGTTCTGTGATGTTTGTTTGAGTGCCTCGTCCAAGTGATGATCCCGTGATAATCTCCCATCCCATGAGATGCGTTATAATATGCAAATGAAAGGGTTAATATGAAGCCTAGACTTTGTATAAGCTCCATAAATCGATAGTTCATCATCCTGGTCGCTAAAAACTACCACTAAATTTCAATGCTTGAAAGTCATTTTCGTATCATTTGATAGTTTGATCATTCTAGCCGACTCTACCACAACTTCAAACTAAGGATCATTGTAGAAGTAACCTGCAATACCATCTTCACTTAAAAAATAGAATAAGAAGATGTCTGAAGCGTGGCTATATGAGTTTACTCCACACAAATTGTGTAGTTCTATCGAACATGAGCTGTGAAAAACTGATTGGGGTGACAAGCATCTCTCTTAAACCCGGTAGTCGACGAGCTTGTGGTTTAGTATATAGAGGCTGAAAGTACCCATTTACTAGGTTATTGGGTCTGGAAATTTGGTTTTATACTCGTTAAATACGAAATCTTCTACAAATCTGAACTTAAGTGGGCTGCAATAAGACTGCAACAAACTAAAACATCTATACTTTTTGGCGATTTTTTTTCTACGCCATGAACATTCATGTCACCCGACCCGCGCGATTTCCTTAAACGCTTGAGAACCTTGGAAACACTGTGTTAAATTTGAGAGTGGGCGATCCATCCAGACTGGAAACAGGTTATTGTTACATGTGCGAGGTTCTTGCCTTATGCACCCGAACCTTCATGGCACTTTCCATAGGAGCACCTTGTAACGTCGAAATTTTCTACTCATTTATCTTGTCGGTTTCTTAAGTTGCAGGAGCTACAACATCAAACATAATCAGTTTTGCACATCCTCATCGTGAACTCAAGTTTTGGAACAAGAAATTCTTATACATACAAACATTTGTTTCTTAGTTCTATCATCCGAACCTTTGAAGTGGCATGGTAGAGAACTTCCACGGCAGACGATTTTTCCAAGCTCTTCGTTATCCCCACCTCGCTTCTCTGGAAATGAACAGTTAGGAAATCGTTTTTCATTGAAGACGAAATCTTGACCTCTGAGCTACATATAATTTGCAACTTCGAAACCACGAAATTCGCTCAAGACAATTTTTACTCAGTTTCGACCTCATTCATCGGTATCCACATTCTAGAAATTGAGGTCTGCCATTTAGTTTTACCTTTTTACCTCACTATGGAATCAAAAAACCCGCAAAGTACCGATTCAATTGAATCTCCAATTGCATATGTGTAGCACTAAGTTTCTAATAGGTCTATCTCCGCTTTTCCTCTCCGAGTCATCCATTGATACTCTACCCGACAAATTTTTCCCATATCACAGTTCGGCATACCAGTTGTTCCCACCACTCGAGAACAATATTCTTACTTTCCCTAAATTCAAGCTTTTGCCTCCCGAGCTACAGACGATGGTCTTCAGGGAGGCTGTTCCTGATCGCAATTCAAAAGTGGCTGATTTTTACTTCGAATTCCATGAGCACTCTGACAAGTGTTTGCTTTCAATTAACGATGAGATATCACCTGCGAGCCATTTACTGCCGCTTTTGAATGCCTGCAAACTATCACGAAAAGTGATTCATGGCCAGTTGAAGCACATCAGATTATCGACACCAGATCCGCGCGGTGAGATACGAAGATATAATGAGTATGGTGAGAGAATAGATATTCGTTATTTCTGGGCCAATGATAGACGTCTCGTCCAAAGGTACATCGATCCTTTGAGAGACACACTGATGGTCAATATGCCAGATCTTGTATTGCTGAATCATTACGGAAGAAGCATAGATTTCTCCAACGTTGAGCGCCTTGCAATTACCTCATTTCCGACTGAATCCGATTGGCTTATCGAGAGTCTAGGGAGAAGATTTCACGAATTAGTGGACGGTCTTTTGCCAAGGTGTCCTGATGTCAAAGTTCTTCAGATAGTATCGGATTTTCCAGTTAACAATTTTGCAAAGTGCTACCGCTCAGGCCAAAGGAGGGGGTATCATTTGATCGATTTTGACACAGAAATGTGGTATGACAACTATTGGGACAATTCTGGCTGCTTGATTGGAAGATCTCACATGCATCGCATTCACGATGTGCTTAGCAATGCTAAGACAAAGGAAATTGACTATCTAAGTCATCTAAAGGATTTGCACATGAAATATAAAGGGAATTTTAACGCTGGAAGGATATAAAGCTTACGATTGCGTTACTTTGCGAGCTTGATGCCGATTCTAATTGGGAAACTTTGGGGAAGAAGGCGCCCGAGCCTAGGCTTTACTGTTTCTCTTTCGATGCGTGGACTCTAGCCCATGAAGATGGATCGCCGTTGAATAATATAAGGGTCTCGCACAGATTTTTGAAGGGTTCCATGGTAGACTGTGCTTGGTTAGTATCTGTTACATCTAGTACAGGATATCTCTTGAGAAAAGAGCCAAGTTTTGTGAACTAAGAAAGCGAGGGGATGCCGAAGACACCAAGGGCTTTTAGCTCAATTGTCACAGAGAATGTGGCTTTATTGAATAGGTTTAAGTTTAGTATTGATATGTCACTTTTTTTAACAGAGAAAAATCTTGCACACAAAGGATACGATGGGGTAGGAATGTGAGTTCCCTTCTGTGATGAAAATTTAGAGAAACAGGATGACTAGGGCCCGTTCACAAGTTAGAATCTAGGTCTATGAGGCCATGATATTACTGAAAGGTAGATGTCAATGAAAACAATGTTTTAAGCCCCTTTATCTTGATGAAACATCCACGTGATCAACCCCCGATGTGCTTGAGCTTATGAGCGGCTCAGATGTTGAACCTATTCAGAATTCCAATATCTCTTCATTGACTGTCCCTTCAAAGACATTCTATTGATATATTTATTCATATCCATTCCTACCCTTCACTATACTGAACGCTCCTCCTCCCTTCCCAAACATAGCTCTCAAATCTCGCACCAAGAGATCCGGTTTCTCATGAGAATTAAAATGTCTAATAAACTCATTAGCAGGAGCTCAGTCTTATTCGGACCATGAAACTCACCCTCCACTATCATTCTCAACTTCATACACCACATGTCCAAGCGTCCTTCCCCATCGCTTTGGAACATTTTCCAAATCCTTTGGATTGTATGCCAGACCCAATTTCACATCTGCTGTCTATTGCTGTAGTTTCTCAACCGTACATTCCTCATCTTCTGACGTGTGCATAGTTTCATAGTAGATTCTTTGCGCAGCTCCTGGCCCTGCGGTGCTAAAGTAGTATATACTCACCCAGGTTAGAATTTCGTCATCTGACCATGGATACTCATCAGACCAATCGTGCAGTTTCTCGTATATCCAGCCCAAAAGCGCGACTGGGGAATCGGCTAGTCCATATGCTAGGGTTTGGGGCTTGGTGGATTGGAGTACATTGTCGCTTGTTTATGTCAATTCTGGACTGGCGAATATAGATGACACTGTCAAGCAACAAGGAGCTATACCTCTACTCTCAGCCTGAGACCATTTTCGCCTCTCAACAGTTCTCTTTTCCAGCTTGCTGTAGGGCATAAACATATCTCCAATCTTTTCAATTGGATTACTAAATAGCGTAGGAGGCTGCGCATGTATCATATTGAGATGACTGGCTTTGCAGTGTTTCGGGTACAATTTTCCTATCGCTCTGGTGATCCAAAAACCCCAGTCTCCGGCTTGGGTTACATATTCATCGTACCCAAGTTTTATCATGAGCTTATTGAGAGTTTCTCCATACTGAGCCATTGCGAAGCCTCTCTTTTTGACACCGGAGCTAAATCCGAAATTTGGGAGAGATGTGGCAATAATGTGGAAACTGGGGTGTGGGGAAGATGTGGAGGCGGGGCTTTGCAAGTGGGGGAGAATCTTGAGGACCTCGAGATAGGAACCGGGCCCTGATAAATTTTTGTACGTATGATTGTACAGTGAGAAGTTGTGGAGTTTATCTCACATCCACGGACAAATAATAATGGAATGGCATTTTCGACAGGACTTTCCTGATGAAGGAAGTGTATGTCTAGTGCTCCGAAACCTTGTTCATCAATTTGGTTGTAAATTGCGGGTACTCGTTGGGTGAGTTTTCTACACTTCTCCAATCCCAAGTCTTCCACTTCTCAGCCAATCTTTGGATTTCGGATAATGGGGGTCCTTGATCCCATCGTGAGGTTGATTCGGAAGGTAGTTCGTCGGGGAAAGTAGCTAATGAAAGTTTTGTTTGAAGGGTGTTAATCTTGTCCTGAGGGACTGAGATATTAAATGGATGAATGTCAGTCATTTTCGTATTCGAATAGACTGACTATCAATTTGAGAATTGTAACGCAATATCCAAGACCTATAAACTTAACGGAGTTACTTGTTGTTATACCTTCTCCGCCACATTTAATCACCGCCACATTTAACCGATATCCCTACATCGTGCACGTCCCTATATCTTGCACACTTTTATTTCTTTTAAAAATGATATTTTAAAAATAATAAAATTATAATAATAATCAATAATTAAATAGAAATTTTAATATTAAGAATATTAATATTAAAATATTATATACTAATTTTTAATAATAGAAATGATAAAAGTTTGTTTTTGGAACACTTTTTATAAATTTGAAGATTTTTGATTTAAGGAATCAAAAAAGCTAGTTTTTGTATTAAAAATTCAAAATTACAGTAATATATAATAAAAGTTTGGTAAATAATTTATTTTAAAATAAAAAACTTTTATAAATTAAATATTAATAATATTTTAAATTAAATTTAATTATGATGTATTATTTATATATTAATATTGATAATGAATAATAAAATATTAAATTTTATTATATATTTATATATATTATTAATTATTTAAAAATTTTAATATTTAAATATTAAAATTATATAATCAATAATTGTCACGGGTTCACTAGCGTAGTATATTAGCGTAGTGGATGCTTAGTCATCTTTGCATTATCTGGCAAAGTTACATCGTATCACTTTCAATCTCTTTATAGAATATCATATATCCAATCTAGTATCTATTCCTTACACCATGATAGTATATTCTATTTTCTTAAAGGTCCTGTTGTTATATATTAATAGTAATCTGATCTTGATAACAATATTCTGATAGAGACTTTGTTTTCGTCTTTGTTTTCGTTCTTGTTTTCGTTTTCGCTCTCGTTTTTGTTCTCGTTTTCGTTTTCGTTCTTGTTTTCGTTTTCGTTTTCATTTTCATCTTTGCTTTTAAAATGATGGATATACCTAATTCGTCATCTACAGAAGACGGAGTTCAAATACTTGACAATCTTAGAACAAGTATTTGAATTGTTTTTGCTGAATGACAATAACTTGTGAGTAAACTTTCAAACATCTCCGATCTCGATCTTCGAAATCTAGCGCTCAGCTTTTTTGAGGATGAATAATTATACTTACATTATTTATATAGCGTTATTAATAATTTATTAAAGTTATTTTATAATATACAAACTAGGATAAATACAGATCTAAGCAACAAGCGTATAGCCCTAGCCAATATATAAATCCATTTACAAATCCAGATATAACTGAATATAGTATTATAAAACCAGCTTTCCCAACTATTGCAAAATACACTAGTCCAGATTCTCAACTCACTTGTTAGCGTTTGACAACAAACCTTCAAAAACCTGGAAACCTTTAAAGAAGAAAAGACTAATACAATAGCACAACAAAACAAGTATTTAACTTGAAAATAAGGATTACAAATCTATTAAATATCTAATATTATTGTATTTGATATTGAGAAAAAGAAACTTTTGTATATAGCCTTCCTTATCGGAGAACATATATATCAAAAACAATTAAAAGATATTGATAACATTTTACAAAATAACTTGGTTTATACAATTACCAATTTGTTCTTCAAAAAGCTTGATAGCCTTTGTATTACAATCGATTCCAAACGGGAAGTAGCAATTCAATTCGATAAACTCAAGATACCAAAAAAACAGGTCTTTGCAATATTCTATATATAGTTAGAATATTTAGGCAATTAATATTATAAATCTAATCAAAAGATAATTCTTGTTTTAAAGCAAAAAGTCTTTAAAAAACTAAAACTTATAATTTATATAGATTCAAGTCTCTGTATATTAAATGATATTGAAAGATGAAAAAAGAAATTCACAATTTGAAGTTGGAATTGCTAGGAGAATGATTATTACAATATAGATTTATCAAAAAACAATTATAATCAATCTTGATTCAATATAACCTTTTGTCACGGGATTACTTCTGGGAGTATTTAGAAGCTTTACCGCTAAGCTAAACGCCCAAAAGACTAGAAGATAGAACTGGAAGTTCTATCTTACTCTCACATATATAGTAGAATAGAATAGGACAGGACAAAAAGGGCTTAGTGTCACCCTGTAATACCATCCCCCTCCTTAAGGTATAATCTCCATACTATCATCTACTAGGAGATTTCAGGATTCTGGATTCTAATGCCTCAGGCATTCAGACAGACAGACAGGATCTATATATGCTAGCCCCCAAATCAATGAAGACTTGTAAACTATAAGTGGGCCCCCCACACAGCTCCACTTATAACCAAGGATAGTTCTATCTAATATCACAGAATCACTTCTAGAAATATTCAGAAACTTTACCACTAAACTAAACACCCAAAAGACTAGAAAATAGAACTGGAAGTTCTACCTTACTCTCACATATATAGCAGGACAGAACAGGACAGGACAGAAAGGGCTTAATATCACCCCGTGACACCTTTTTTATATTTGTTATCGCTTTATATAGTGATTTTATAGAGCTTGATATAGTCAAATTCCAAAACAAGATATAATAATACAAGAAGGAGTGTTGTTTTAGCTTTTACCATTATTACAAGAAACCAGATTATTCTATCTGAGATTGTAATGCGAAAAAACAAGCCGATATACAGCAAGTAGCCAGAGGATACAATACAGAATCCCCAAAAGGGGTATTAGGATATAGTTGCAGTAATGCCAGAAAAGGAAACCAATAATTCGGTTGAGGCGGATAATATCGAAGCAATAGCAATTATAATCAGAATGATTTTCGGGAATATAGCTATCAATAATAGCCCTACACGTGATAACAGTTTAATATAATCTATAGCTATATCGAGAATAGTTCTTTAATATTTTTGGAAAGTACTTTTAATATCTCTTCACACAATAATATAATATTATTATCACTGTTTAATAGTATATAGACAAAAAGACCATTGTCCTCCGCAAGGAGCCCGGCTGGTTCAGTGGTAGAGTGATCGGGTCACTCTCCTACTGTTCTACAACTTAAGGCTATAGCGATCTGATCCACATGGATCCATCCTATATGCTGCCTCATAGGTCACCTTAATGTAAACCTCTTGATACAGCTCCACTGAGCTCCGACAATCTACCACTAACCCTAATAGAGCTTTTCTATTATGAGCCGCAAAAGCAATCGATCGAATACTGAGGGGGAACTGATCCCCCTTCCAGTTACCACCACTATATCTATGCGCCACTCCGCTACTCAGCAGAACCATCGTTCCGGCTACTCCTCTCAAACAGCCCAATAGCTGAATCCTTTGCTCCTATGGAGTACTATCACACATACACCTACTTCTTTGACGCAACATACCTGTACACACTGCTCCTGCCCATATAGTTTTATGACAGGAGTAACCATACAATCAAAACATTCCTCTCCACGAGTAGCAGGAAGCGCTAGGAATATAGGGCCGATCAAACAGCCCTATTTGCGATCATTACACTGACTTATTTAGGATATATAAAAGGAACTGAGTTTACCCTATGAGGTTTTATTAGCGTGCGCATCAGCGCCTTTCTGTATTTGTAACTCTAGATCTAGCCACATCTTTCATACCCCTAGGGAGGTCCCCCACAAGACGTTAATCACTATAAATAAATAAATAAATAGTATATACAAATTCCCGGGAAATATATTACCTTCATAATAAGTCGGCTATAAAGGTTATTAAGAAACGAGAAATGGATAAAATATATTGTAGATAATACTAAGCCATTACAACTTAGCTCTATAAATAGCAAATCTTTATTTATTCAAACTATTATATTTTCAATATATACTTCCTCCTTTAATATAACTAGTCTGATTAATAGCAGATACTCCAATAAAGCATTTGCTAATCAATTATTTATTAACCAATATAAAATTCATATTCAATTCTTATCTCATTATTAACAACTTTACTTAACCAATAGCAATATAGCAAATATCATTACAAAATACTTTATTATACTTATAGCAATAGAATTACATTTAGAAATCTGAATATTCTTTATTACAAAACTCTTTTTTGATATATTAATTATTTTTAGCTTGTTATAATTACAATACTACAATCTATATATAGATTGAGCAAATATAATATTTTCTTTTATTTTTCGATATTGTGTAATACAATATTGTCACAAGGGGAGCTTATACCCTCAAGTATTTATAATCAAATCAATCCAGCAACAACCTGATAATACCTCAACTCTTCAAAGCATTAATCTAAAGACCAAAGGGTTTTGGATATGTTATTATTATCAAAGATCATCTTCCAAAAAGCTTATAAAACAAAAAATTATTAATTATTATATGTAGAGGATAATAACGAACTTGATAATAGTTATAAATCTAAAGATTCTAATATAGAATAAGATATACTTATTGAAGCAATACTTATCTTTAATACAAACTATTACTATATAAAGACCTATAATAGGAATATAGATATATAAGCATAAATAATACAAAACCAGTTAAAAATACACCTAATAGTAATAAACAAGATCGTAGGACAAAGATAAAGAAAACCAAATCTAGTAAAAGAATTATTATTATTCCTTTCAATATTATTATTAACAGTTCGAGAATACAAAACAAGCCTAAATATAAAGGATATTCGATAATTATATACCTTGAGCTTTGTTTCTTTTTATCAATAAAACAACATTTATATAATACAAATTATCTAAAATAAATTAGATTAAATTATAGCACCCAAATATAAGCTCAATTATATCTCTATAAACAACTTTACCAAAAATGAGCAAAGTTATAAAGATATACTTTAGAGATATAATAGTTTAACAGAAATACTTTCTATAATATTATTATACTTATATAACTTTATTCGAGATTATTATAAATCAGCTTATCTATGAAGAATCTTTAAAGCTAATATATCAAAATTCTTAATAGGAAAACCAGATCTCAATAATAAAGAAATACAAAATACACTTCCTAATTAGCTTCGAG